GCTCGCCATGTGCCCAAGCTGCAGGTGATCGACATGATCGCATCTTCAAATTTCCCCAGCAGCATCGTTCGGGTCATGAGGCGCCACAAGGAGCACCCAGCCGCGCCCTGGTGAGGGTAAGAGGCGCTGGAAATCACCATTGAAGCCTGAGGGGATTTTTAGGGAATTTGAGATTCACATAGATTCACTGTTCTAACAGGTCCTGACAGATCCTGACAGATTTCTAACGGATCCTGACTACTGTAATTAATTATTGACCATAGACCATAGTGAACGATGTCTTGCATTAACAATATACAGGCTTTGAGGTGCCGGTTTGCGTACCCAGGTCGTGTTGGGCCGTTGGGCTCATTTGGTGTGAATGGACTCCTGGGTCTTCACTTCTGTGGATACCAGTAGTGAGGAGTACATATTGTAGAGGTTCTATTGATTAATGTATCATAGATACTCGCATTGATAGTTGAATAGAACTATTATGGATGTATCATATAGCTACCATCCCCATATCATATATATATATCAACTATTAACTATATGGATATATTATATAATCCAACAGTTGATAGCTACTATCCCCTTTTTTCCAACATCTCCATTCACCCATTGTTGACATCCTCAGAATCGTTGCGAGGAGAACCTGCCCATCTTGGCCCTGGCGTGCCAGTGCGTGGCTGGCTCCGCCAGCACTACCGATGCGGCCACCAGCTTCGCGCGGGCAGGTGGAGGGGATGTGGTCAGCAAAGATGTGCAAAAATGGGGGATCTAGCGATATATTCCACAACTTTTGGATGGTTTCGAACACAGACAGAGATTTTGGATGGAAAATTAAGGATGTGGTCGATCTTGTAGAGGAGATGTCCCCATCTTTCACCCTGCCAGGTGTGTTAGATGAGGTTTTGAACGTCATGGACAGCCACAAGACGCATGGAGGAGTGCAGAATGTTGCATTGTTCCTGTTACGCACCATCCTGAAGGACTGGGCTGCTGGGTTGGACCCCTAATTGATTGAGCTGGGTCTTAACTGTTTGTGCAGTGACCCCTAATTGTCGCGAAGGATGGGACTGCAGCGCGTCAGGCTGTTCAGAATGGAGCCATCGCCAGAGTACTTCGCCAAAGTTAGCTGGAACAGAAAGAACCAAATTGGGGCTTTATCGACAACCCAGGGACTATAGATGAAAGAATGTGAAACATCTTTCTGTTCCAAGTCATACTGTAGCTTTATGATTTTTCTTTCAGATGTGAAAAATCGATGGATTTTTAGGTCCTGGCGGCCTTGAACTTGTCCATGGGCCGCGAGATTCAATACGGCGGCTTGGTGTCACTGCGCCAGATGATGGATGCGAGTCGCCAGAATCGATACTTTTGGCCGCTGGGTCAAGATGGGTTCAGCCGTGGGGCTGGGGGAAGGGAGTCTAAGGGTCAGGGACTCGATTTTTTCTTTTCCCAAAGAATAGGGCGGGATTTGGTACAGAGTTTCTTGGGGAAACTAGTCTGAGTTCCAAGTGCCAAAACTATGTTTGCACCATGGCATACGATGCATAAACCTGCCTGTATCAAATAGATCATTTTGAAACAGCATCAACATTTAAACTTGTCTCAAAGAGGGTGTCACCTTAAGATTCTCTGGTTTCTCATCATCTGCCCTAATTTTTTTGTGGCCATAAATTAGGAACCATGAATGCAAGACCATGAATGCAACCAGCACCCAGATTCTGGACCTTGGCCATTTGGCCATGCCTCCAGGCAAGAGAGCCTGAAGACGCAGCGTGCGCAAATTCAAGAAGCGGGGCTCCAAGCCAAGGTGCACCATCAGTCCGATGCCGCCCTCTGTGAGGTGGAGAAGGGCGGGAGTTGGAGTGGACGAGGAGGATGTGAAACTTCCAAGACATGTTGATTCGTTAGAGAGCTAATTATAGTGATGACTGTATGAGTATGCATGAGAATTGAAGATCTTGGGGGACTACGGATGAAAATGCGTCATTTCCAGGGGTGACCCATCCGATTTTTGGGGTATCCGCAGCACCAGGCAGCTGACGACACGTTGGCCTTCGTGATTCCTCGGTTCAAGGTGAGCCCTCTGACGCCTCAATGAACTTATCATTTGAATCATTGAGTTCTCACAGGTTGGTGTTTTCGAGTTCGGTTGCCCCAGGATTCCAGTTGTCCCCCATCCATCAGGAGGTGCCCTGCTGGCACTGGCAGTCTGGGTGGTGCAAGATGGGCCCCAAATGTACCTATGCTCACGGCCAAGAGGACCTTCGTGGGGGTCATGGCAAGGCCTATGGCAAGGGAGGCTACCGCAGAAATGCGGCGGAGTAGGAGGCTCGACGAACGTACGGCTCCTCCGAGATTTCGCGACGATGTGAGCAGAGTGCTGTGTTTTTACCTCCCACTGCAGTTGCACCGGAGCCCTCTAGAGACCTGGTGTGCCGCGGCCATGGGCGTTCCACCGCATGTGTTGCATGTCAAGTTTTGGCCCAGTTGGCAGACAGTCGCGCCGAAATTTGAAAAATGCTGGGCCAGGGTGGGCAGGGTGTAGCACAGAGGTCTCTGTTTTAGGTCTCATGACGTTTTTGCATCGACACTATCTCTGCAGTCACTGGAATGGTGAAGATCCATCTCCAGCGGTATAAAAATGACGATCAAAATACTTTGTAGCCCGTGTTTTTTGTTTCTTGGGGATATTTGGCAAAAAATGGCAAACACATGGCAAAAATTGGGCGATATGGATCTCACATGATCTCACCATCTGAACTTCTAAACACTGGACTAAGGAGAGCCTCAGCCCTTCGCGCCTTGCAATCGGCTCCTCCACAAGGCGTTGCCTTCAGGAAATCGGGAGAACATCCCAAAATTCAAGGGGTAAAAACAGCATTTTCCGCTACAAATTACTATAAATGGGATTTTTCCCAGATGATTTTAGGATATTTTAGGTTTTCAATGGTTTTCAATTCTTCCAAAACAGGATTTTTAAATTTCAATTCTTCCAAAGCACATTCGATTCTCCTCATGGGTCATTCCACGGATCCAGCTGATTTTGTGGATGTCCTGTTGGTTTCTTGGAACTAGATCTAGGAATGGTGATGAGGGAATGCAAAGAGGGGGAAGATGATCATTGGCGAGCGTGGTATTGTCAGTGAGAAGGTTGAGAAGTGTAATTCTTCTTCGTTCCCATCCTTTCCATTCCTTTCCAACCTAAAAAGGATCTTACACAGCTCGTCACCAATCCTCCAAATTTAGTCGAACATTATTTTCTTCTGAACCCTGAGTTGTCTTTTTTGGTTCCATTTTTTTTTGGCCCTGTCTGTTTCCCGAGTCGTTTTTCCCCATGATTTTCTGGAGCCGTTCCTGTGCCAGGCTTCAAGCTCTCAAGATCGGCTCTGCAAGAGGCCCTGAGCCCGGGATGCTCAGGTTTTGCTGACTGGGTCTGAAAATGGAGGAGAGCCGGTACCCTCTGGTTATGTCAAAATAGCTATTGAAAATGACCATAGAAATAGTGGATTTTCCCATTGAAAATGGGTGGATTTTCTATAGCTATGTAAGAAATTACCAGAGGGTACCACCAATTTGTGGCCATTTTTCTAGAAAACAGAGGAACATGATGATGAGGAACGGGGGATTTGGATGGATTTGGGGTTTACATGGGTTTACTGTACCCTACTTTCAGACAAACCAGACTGATATTTCTTATCAACCCCAAAATTGGGGGATGGTTTCAATCCCAGCTACATTCTGATGAAATTGGTAGCAGCATTGGATGAAAAGAACATTTGGAGGTGTCCCTTTCACCTGCAGGATTGATCCATGAGAAGAACCATGGTTTCGTGTAAGATTTCCCTGCAACCAATCCATTGAAGGAAAAACATGGTGAGATCTTGGAGGGCTAAAGTTCATTCCTTGCCTTGAGATTAGGGATGTAGGTTGAAATATGTCGAAATCCACTTTTTGGGTTGATTGATATTCCCCATTTCCATGAACAACACTGCGATCATGTTTCTGGTTATGGGATGTATGGGGAATTGTGGTATCAGAATTTGGGATGTAACATCATGGAAAACATATACAGTGGAGTTTTCCAAGTGGGTCTCTCTGAAATTGGGGTCCACCGGTCTACCGGAAAAACATCCGCATTTTCTGGCCATTTGATGGAGGTGATCATCAAGTGGAATGGGGGGTATACCTACACCCAGATTTTTTTTTTCCAAACTGAGACACCCCAAGCCCATCAAGCCCCGTGAAGTGTCACACAGATGCCATGGTGAGGTAAGGATCCATCTGCTTCGGTCCGTGCGGCTGCGATTCCTCTGATCTCGTCCATGGGGCAGGTGCACTGGGGATGATACGAAATGTGGGGTCCAAGAGTCCAACAAATCAACTAGTTCAAAGGTGTTCATAGTTTATTTTTGCATTATAAACTGTTTAGACTTCAGACCCTAGGTTTGATGTATCTACCACTTTGGGATCTTTGGGACTTACATAGCTTCATTTGTCTATGAAGAAGACCGGAAGCTAAGTTTGGACGGAAAATCTGGTGCTTGCTGTTAGGACTGAGATGTTGTTTGAACTTCCGGGCTGGGATCCAAGTTGAAGTCCGCTGCCAGAACTTTCAGGAGCCAAAGTGCTACAGTGAGTGCAGAGCGTGCCAGCGATATTGCAGCACTCCCATGGACACCAATACCAACATACCGCAACATACCCTTTTTGAAAGCTTCAAGTGCATTGAGCTGATGCAGTCCAGTCCGTTGAGAAACCACTAAGACTTACCCATTTTTCCAGGCTGTTCAACTCCATGCCCAAGACTATTCTTTTGTGACCTGAGAAACAGGAGAGCAGAATGCCACCAGTGAAACAAACAAGAAAAGACTCAACTAGGCAAGGTGTGAACTGACACACACACACACTGACATTGTATCTCCGAAAATTCGATATGGCCAGAGCCGGTCATTTCAATCACATCTGCAAGATGTCCATCAGTTCCCCATCCTTCAGAACGGGACAGCCTCGCCATGGAACGACTCACCGTTGCTTTGCTCGGAACGGGGCTGGCGGCGCTGGCTGCTTCGGTGGATGTCAATGAATCCGGTGGCTCGGCGAAAGGGACCGACGTCGGCTGGGCTGTCGATGTTTTGTTTTTAGCAGGTCGGCCGCTGACCGTCTCATGGTATATTGTATAATATATAATATTAATAATAATAACAATAATAATAATAATAAAAATAATAAAAATAATATATATATATATATAATTATATAATTATATAATTATATAATTATATATATATATATATATTATATTATGTCATATATATATATATTATGTAATGTGTATATATATATAAAATGTAATATATATATATATATAATATGTAATATATATATATATATTATGTAATATATATATATATTAGGTAATATATATATATATTATTATAGACATATACAGCTATTTGTGATGGGGAGAAGGATAGATATTTGCGTTTTGGCCCAAGTGTTGAGAGAGCGGTGGTTTCCAAACATGCTGATAATTGTCCATTCCTAAAGGCATGATGACATCCCCAAGTGACTTTAGAAGAATCACATCCTACTAGAATAGTTGTCAGCTGCTTTTCGTTCTTTTTGAGGAGGACACAACTAATTAATAGAGATTCTCAAGGGGGTTTTAAACATCTTTAAACCATCAACCGCTTCAGGCAAGAAGTATCAGCTTCCGATCACCCAGCCGGTGGTCATCGACAACTGTTTCTACCGCGACATGTCTCCTGGCGGCCAAGTATATCAATTGTGGAAGCCCCACTAAGCACCACTTTTCCCTGAGTGCACATCAGGATTGCAGCCTTAGAGAGGGCCAATAAATCCGCTCCATGTTTTTTTTTCAATGTATTTAGTATTTGGAAGGGTCTCTTTGCGTTGTCCATCAGTATCATGGTGCCGCCCCATTCCGCCGAACCTGATTTCATAGCATCACCAGCTCCATTTCCGACTGCCTCAGGAGATATTTCCCTACGATGCTATTGGTTCTTCCATCGCACGAGGAAAGTTTGGTGGCGTGCCAGCAACGCTGCATCACGGTGGAAGGATGTAGGCAGGGGCAAGATGAGCAGATGTGGGCACCGGGGATGTGAGATGGGTACGCAAAAGTTGGGTTTTCGCAGGCAGCATCAGCATTGTTTTAGTGACATTAAAGGTCACATGAGTATAAAGAGGTGTGACATTTCAGTGACATGAGTATAATTTTTATAGTGTTCTGAACATCTCTGAAGATCTTTAAACTTAGGCAAAACCTTCCAGTAAGAATAAGCCATGAATAAGCCATTATAAACATTTATGAACCATAAATCATAGATATCAGATATATCATGATATATCATCATAATCATTTATAAACCATATGGAGGTACATCTCCTGGTGGGGCACTGGCCACTGCGTTTTGTCGGGTGCTGATGCCTACCTGGTGGAGGACGGACCGTTCCGTGGAGGGGCTGATTGGGAAGTTGGTGTATCACTAGGCCAATATTATTGGATTTATGGTTGATTTATGGTTGATATATCTGATATCTATGATTTATGGTTCATAAATGTTTATAATGGATTATAATGCTATGTATGTATATATATATATACACATATATATATATGTATAGGGCCTCATATATCTCTATATTTGGATCAGCATATAAACCCACTTACATAGCTGGGGGGAAGCCTGCAGAAGTCATGAAGAAATCGTGGCCACAGATTCTTGTGGCCAGCATCGCACACCAGGACGTCTTTGCAATGGCTGGGCCTGTGCATTGCACACCAGTCCTGGCATCCTGCCGTGAAAGGTGGGGCTGTTCCCTGCTGCCCGCGGGGGGATCACCCCAAATTCACTGGCTTGGTGCTTTGGGCTGGAATCACTCCTGGATCCTGTATACTTGGTCAGGCCTTCTTCCAGCTTTCCCGGAGCAACTGGCATCGAATCTGCCAAGGCGTGTTGAACGCCCAGTCACTGAGTTTGCTTTGGCAGAATCCACGTCACTGAATGAAGAACTTCTCAACATAGGCCCGAAATATTGTGGATATTCCTGCCCAAGAATGTCCAATTCAAAGTGCATTTGGGGATCATCCCTAACTTCAGCACCATTTCAGCACCAAATGGTCGGAATCCGACACTTGAGAGCTCCAACATCCTCTGTGCTACTCTGCCCCTTTCTTTTGTGTTTTGCCAGGCCTGGCCATCGGGATATGTTCCTTTCCCGATGGAGTGCTGGCCGCGGAGTGGAAGCGTCTTGAAGCATTGCGGGAAAGAAGAGGCCCCGTCAGCCACGGGGGTGGGTGGGGGTCCTAATTCATGGCAATGTCAATAGGAAAAATTATGATACCCCAGCATTTTTTTTTTGTACCCTCTGGTAATTTAACATAGCTATTGAAAATGGCCATTTATAGTGAGTTTTCCCATTAAAAATGGTGATTTTCCATAGTTATGTTAAATTACCAGAGGGTACCCCATTGTCAGTCACCTCAGGTGGTGCTAAAAAACTCTCAGCTGATGCGTTGAATGGGTCCCGTTTTGCAGGTCATCCAGGATGTCTCCAGCGGCCTGGTTGGGGCTTGCCAGAATATGGAGCAGCTGACAGTGGCTAGTTGGCAATTTCAATGGCCATGACTCAGGAACCGATAAAAATTGGAGGTACCTACCATATATAAGGCCTATATAAGATTATGTAAGGCCTATATGTAAGGGAATATCCCCACAAAATATGGCCTGAAATATGGTACAGTACCTCGAGCCTCCATTTTAGGATCCTGAAATTCCCATTGGCAATAGGGGGTCTCCTGGTGCACTCGAGGTCATGGCGTTTGCCTAGAAAAATAGACCCACATTTTTCTTGCCGTTGGTTGGTTGAGCTGTAGCACGTCACAGTTCGGAAGCGAAACTCATTGAGATGCACAGTTCAGGAAACCGGCATTGACAACACATAAATTCCACAATACCCTACATGTTTTTTCCTGTGAAACATTGGGCGGGAGTATGCCCTTGCCAGTGTTTGAGCAGGTGCCGTTGTATGAGACGTGCCATTCGCTGTGCAGCAAGAAAAACTTCTGCTCCATTTACGTGGAGAATCAGACCGGCTGTTTCATAGGCCCACCATGCCAATGCCAGTGCAGTGTCAAGTGACTCAAGTGACCCTCGTTTTGGATCTTGACTTGACGTAAACTTTAAAGACTGACTGGTTTGGAGACATTGAAACCTGACCTTGGTCTTTCCTGGGATATTTCAATGTCTACCCGTGCAAGCTGGGTTCAGGTGAAATGACTGCGGGTTTGAATTGCTTCAGCCCCTTGAGGCTGGGTATCGGGAGGTGGTTCAGAGTCTGGAGATTTTTGGGCCCAGTTCTTTGGTGTATATCATGACGCATCCCTTTTCCAGCCCGAAAATTTATGAACATCTTCCACGTTGCCTTTGAGCCATTGCTTCCCACACTTGGGTCGGTTGGTTAACATTGCTTACCCTCTGGTGAACTAACATAGCAATGGAAAATGGCCATTTATAGTGGATTTTCCCATTAAAAATGGTGATTTTCCATTGCTATGTTAGTTCACCAGAGGGTAAGCATCCACACTGCACTGTGCGATCATCCATCGTCATCTGATGTACTCCCGAGCCCTCCAACCTTGGATTCGAAACGTCTCAGGAACCCCGAAGCCGCCTATCACGCAGGGCGCCTGATGCATGGGGCGGTGCGAGTTCTCCAGGACCGGGCTGCAGTAGCCCCTGGTGGGATGGTGCCCGATTGAACCTCCAAAAATGGTGGGATACACACGCAGAAACGATGCGAATGATGGTGGGACCACAGTGGGATATAGGGTTTGATACTGACGGATTTCATGCAGATTCTGAATCCGCCCGTGATGGGAATCCCTCTACAATATCAAGTCCATGTTGTTTTGGCCAACCTCGGTCATCATTTTTCCTCGGCAGGACTTGCGAGACACACAAGTTTTCGGCTTAACGCAGGTCACCCGGCACACCACAGGGTTGATACGGCAAGGAGAGAATCCCATGACATTGAAATATATATATATATATGAAGAGATAATTTACTGACAAGAAGCAGATGTGTCATGATGTGTCTAAGATATTTGAGATGTTTTTTTTTTTAGGCTCTCAACTTTAAGACACAAACCCATTGATTTGGGTTTCTCCCAAGGTATTGTATCTGACAGATTGTATAGTTGAATTGCCCCTATAAGTCTATAAGTAGCTGGATGGGCGAGCATGATGCTGTTGCAGAATCATAGAATTTCGACAGCAAAACAGCATAGTGCCTGCAAGTTTGGCAGAGAGGAGTTCAAAACACATGATTACCTCCCTACTTTTTGGAATCTTAGTAACAAACCATCCCAGTAACCAAGCATATGGGGCTCATTTTACATCCCAGTCATAGGGGGTGCATCCAATTTCATAAACCACTATAAACCTCAAACTTGGGGACGGTTTATTAGAGTTACTGTATTATTCCACTATCCCAATAATATCCATAGATATCCATATTACATCCCACCATTGGGGTCCACATCCGTGGACGTCGACATGTCCGTGCCAAAAAGGTCTTTCTGGAACGAGACTGCCCAGGGAATCCGCGAAGCTCCTGTGTGGAGTATTGTCGACTGAGCTGCTACTCGAGTCTCCAGTGCAACTTCTGGCAGTACTACCTGGGCTCAGGCGCCTTCAGGGGCGGCACTTGGAGGTGATACTTTTGACATCTTTTGACCATTTGGAAATGAGAAGAGTTGCACAGGGTTGTAGATGAAATGAGCTGCAGGCAGTGCTTCAGATCTCATCATGATCCCTGGGGTCTCCTTGCCAGGCTGTTGGGTGGATGAAGGCAACGTGCTGCAACTTGGCTCTCACTGCCTGTTTTTTTTTTTTGTGTTGACGCACTTCCCCACGAAAATGTGGTACGTGGTTGCAAGTCTTGTATGAACAGTTTTTGGTGGGGTTCCAACATAAATAAACGGTGGACAAATCAATATAAAACGTCCCCTGCGCTGGGTATCCATATTATATACCATATTCCCTAGTTTGAACTATCTTGAATGGGCAGCCAGTTGGAGCTACGAATTGACATGAATTGACTTTACCCAACCAAATGATAGTAAACATCCATCCAATCCCGAAGGCCCTTCCTTACATGGAACAGATGTTGCCCCATTCCAGGCATCCCTTGACCAACGCCCAACTACGACGTGGCTGGGACGTTGCCATTGCCGGGGAGCCACTTGGACGAGAAATGGGCTGTAGCTATGGACTTTAATCCAGTCCAGATTAATAGTTATATTCCACCAAGACTTGCAAAATGAGTAGCTGTAGACTATAGCTGGCTCAAAGTTCTGATATCCCCTCAAGACTGAAAGCTACAAAAGTCAATTAGTGTCTCTTGAGTCACGCAGAACTTCCGTTGGCATTCCATGTTCCAGGTCAAATTTGGTGTCTTAAGATCGAAGATCCTGGAATCGACCCACTAGAACCGCTAGTTTTTTCCCTGGTGCAGAACTTTTGAAGTTTCTCCCTTCTATGTTTTTGTTGATGAAACCTCCTGTGAATCCGTTCCAAAAGCGTCCGTCTGATCTGTCAACATTGAACAGGCTTCACATCAAGCCCTGGACGGTAATCGTCACAACTTTATGGCATCAGTAACAAATGTAACAGCCGACTTTCTGCCTGTGTCTTCCGTCTTCCAGCTTTCCAAGGTATATCCAACACTTCTGTCCTGGCCTCGGGTGGACTCCAGCCAAGGAGCCCCTGTCTAAAAAGGGCTGCCCGGAACCGTGGACGCCGTGGAACTGGGGATTTTTGTTTCACGGGGCATCCAGGAGTGGACCATGACCGCCCGCGACACCATCTGTTCCAAGAGCAGCAAAGTGAAGGAGCGACCCGGCATGGCCAATGAACATGGTCACTGCTAGTTTGATTCAAAAAAGATCAAAAACGATGTGAAAAATCGAGTGAAGCCTCATTGTCCCGCATCATCCTGTCTCCCCATTTCTACGGCTAGCGGTTAAACAGGATCCCAAGTATCCATTTATATCATTTATATCCCAAGTATCCATTGATATTATTTGGATAGATCTGGATAGTATATATATACTGTATATATACATATGTATGTATGTATGTATGTATGTATGTATGTATGTATGTATGTATGTATGTATGTATGTATGTATGTATGTATGTATGTATGTATGTATGTATGTATGTATGTATGTATGTATTATGTATGTATGTATGTATGTATGTATGTATGTATGTATGTATGTATGTATGTATGTATGTATGTATGTATGTATGTATGTTGTATGTATGTATGTATGTATGTATGTATGTATGTATGTATGTATGTATGTATGTATGTATGTATGTATGTATGTATGTATGTATGTATGTATGTATGTATGTATGTATGTATGTATGTATGTATGTATGTATGTATTAATGTATGTATTAATGTATGTATGTATGTATGTATGTATGTATGTATGTATGTATGTATGTAATGTATGTAATGTATGTAATGTATGTAATGTATGTAATGTATGTAATGTATGTAATGTATGTAATGTATGTAATGTATGTAATGTATGTAATGTATGTAATGTATGTAATGTATGTAATGTATGTAATGTAGTAATGTATGTAATGTATGTAATGTATGTAATGTATGTAATGTATGTAATGTATGTAATGTATGTAATGTATGTAATGTATGTAATGTATGTAATGTAAGTAATGTATGTAATGTATGTAATGTATGTAATGTATGTAATGTATGTAATGTATGTAATGTATGTAATGTATGTAATGTATGTAATGTATGTAATGTATGTACTGTATGTAATGTATGTAATGTATGTAATGTATGTAATGTATGTAATGTATGTAATGTATGTAATGTATGTATGTATGTATGTATGTATGTATGTATGTATGTATGTATGTATGTATGTATGTATGTATGTATGTATGTATGTATGTATGTATGTATCATATAATGATATATAATGATATATAATGATATATAATGATATATAATGATATATATTGATATATAATGATATATAATGATATATAATGATATATAATGATATATAATGATATATAATGATATATAATGATATATAATGATATATAATGATATATAATGATATATATAATGATATATAATGATATATAATGATATATAATGATATATAATGATATATAATGATATATAATGATATATAATGATATATACTGTAATGATATATAATGATATATACTGACATATAATTATATATAATGATATATAATGACATATAATGACATATAATGATATATATATATACACATTAATTGGACATATTCACTCATATCCCAACTTATATCTGGATAGTTGTCAATGATTGTATATTACTACTATGGATTTATTGCTATCTATCCACTGGATCCCCAGGAGCTGAGCCACGTGTCCAGTGTGTTGGGATGCCAGGCCCAGGCACAAAGGAATGAGGAGAACTCGCAGCGCTGGGTTGATGGGCTTGGTTCATGTTGGTTCATGTTGTTTAACGTTGATGAATGTTGGTTCATGTTGTTTAATGTATGTTACTGTACCGGTGATGTTGGTTCATGTTGGTTAATTCAATATACTTCTCTGATTTCCGATGAATCTTCCAAGCGCAGCCTCAGAAAAAAATGGATGTTTGTGGAGTTTTTGGAAGATGTTTTGAGTGAACAAAGAACTCTTGAGTTTCATATGGGCCGTATGGTGCTGTGATGGGCTTGGTGGGTCAATGGCTCGACAGGACTGTGGCAAAACCACTTTCACCAATGGCACCGCATGCTTTTGTCTCCGACCTGGAGGCCGTTCAGCAGCTGCCAAAGGTTCAGGATTGCCACGTCTTTATCTTCTGTCCTTGGTTCCTGAGGAATAAAGCGATTCCTGGCGGTACTTGGAATGCAATCTGAAAATCATTTGCCTCCTGAAGATGCTGCAAGGATCGACCGATGATGGTTCTGCCGGTCCTTTCGAAATCCAGAAGCTCATAGTTAATTTTACTTGGGCAAAGGGAGCCAGTTTTCAACCATAGGTACCGTATAGCATAGTACTAGGTACCCTGGCAATACATTCTTTTCAATGTCCACGAGGGACATACCGGACATTTTGCCATCCGGCCAGGGCTCTGCGAGCGAGAACACTTCATTGGCTTTGATCTCTATGAGAGAAACGACTTGGTAGAGGTTGGGATCCGAGATCCACTTACTTTTTTGTTGGGATGACAACCAACCAGGCTACGGATGAAATGCCAGAAACAACCAATTCTCAAAGAGTTGGAACTGTTTTTCTTCCCGCCTGCATGCAACTTCCATGATACTTGATCTGCACTTTTCCACTGAAGTGAAGTGTCCCATGATCTTCGTAATTTCTGGATCCAGCCCACCCAAAATTGGACGATTCCTTCACACGGCTCTGTCTGAAAATGGGGTATACCGTATACTACATGACCATATTTAACAGGAAAAACACTAGTTACCCTCTGGTAAACTAACATAACTATGGAAAATCACAATTTTTTACTGTAATGGGTAAATCAACCATAAATGGGCAATTTTCCATAGCTATGTTAAATTACAAGGGAGTAACCCATGTTACCCACGGATTTGGAGGTATCCTATTTTCAGACATACCCAAATAGTGGGCCAACTCCAGGCAGTGCAACCTGCCGCGCACGCCTCGCTGTTCAAAGCACCAGAGGGGCTGGGAGCCTTCCATGTGGAGATCACGTTGAGGGGAGTGAGCTATGTGCCTTGGTGGAGCCAAGTCATAATAGGAATAAGTGGTAGGCTAGTCATGGGGTCTATGACATACAGTCATGATAGTTACTGATAGTTTAAAGCCATGATTTGACCGATGTTGTTTCTAGTCATGGTAATAGAATTGGGGTTTTCTTAAGATTGGGGATCCCCAAGAAACCATGAAATCTTCATCTATGACTTGGATAATTTGGGGTACCACCATTTTAGGACACCTCCAAATATACAGGTTTTTATCCGCTTACCAGCTGTGGGAGTCATGTCAATTTTAGAAGAATCAATCCTGGTTTACGTCGAGCGTTTCTAGGGGTTCGTGAAGCAGTTCCAAGGAGCGCATCGTAGCATCCAAGTCGGCCAGTGATGAGCTGCGGAGGAGCTTTGCCCTCGACGTGGCGGAAGCCACAGGTGAGCGGAGCGAAGGGGAGGTTCAACCTAAAAACGGATGTCTATGGCTATAAAACCGTACGGGATGGGGCCCCCAAACGTTATGTTTGTTGGTTTATAACCCCATCTGAGTATAATTATAAGTGTCATGCACTATTGGTATTATATTATATACCTACTTAGCTAACTATAGGGCCCCATCCTTTATTAAACCAACCAAAAAACCGGGTAATCATGATTTTTCATGGGGATATTTGATGGAATTTGATGGAACATATTTTTGCAACTCTTGTAAAAAGTTGGATTAAAGACCCATATATCTGATTTGTACCTGATAAAAATCTTGACGACAACCCCAGCAAATGCCCGGGAACAGCGGCTCAGGTGTCTCATCCTCGTCTGTATGGAATGATCAAGGCTGCTCGACGCCTTGGATGAGGCAACCAGTTGTGTTGTGGGTAGCCTTGGCACCCCTTGGTTTGCTGGAACAAGAAATCTTATCTTGCTTGCGGATCTGTTTGATAGTTGTTTCCTTCAACAAAAACGCATCTGATGATCTGTCACATGTTTTTTTTCTCCATTTTAGACCTAAATGTGACTCAAGTCTACACCTCACAAATGGGTACAACTGGCCCCAAGAAATTTACACCGGGTGATGATGACTTGCAACTGCTTCTCCAAAGCACGGCAGTACATGTTGCGTCTCTTTGTGCGAAACAATCACCTACTGTACTTTGACTTTCCGAAAAATCTCATGCAAACAGTTGAAAACCATGGTGCTTCCACCATGGCTTCCACTGGTTCCGGCACGTTGAGAAATATCATGAAATTTCCCCATCCATTCCCTTTTTCATCCAGCAAATCTGCACATGGGGATGGGTCAAAACCTATTATTATCAATTCTAATGGGATGAGCATCCATTTACCAGCTATTTTGGGGTTAGGTGCCAGGGTTTTGACCAATAGCCACATCATAAATCTGGATGAATTTTTCCAGGACCTCCAATTCGGAAACGTCACACAACGGAATGAGGGTTTTTGGGAGTCGCGGTTCATCGTCCCGAAGTGGTGAGAAATCACACAAAAAAGCTTGGTGAATGACCAAACCTACCCTCTGGTAATTTGTTACATAGCTATTGAAAATGGCAATTTATAGTGGATTTTCCCATTGAAGATGGTGATTTTCCATAGTTATGTGACAGTTTACCAGAGGGTATTCCAGGATATTCCAGGATCCAGAACAAATAGGGCAAAGTTGGTGGTTCCAGGTTTCACCCCTTCACCATGCGCCCCAACTGGTACACCGAGGAGACACCCGGGAGGTGTCCTTGGCTCGCTCCAGTGGCAATGAAGGGGATGATGCTGGGCCCATGGGGCAGTGATGGATGGATTTGGGACTTGGAAAATGGGTTGAGGTAAACGGGGCCCTTGGGTTTGCTCAAACGTGGCTGGGAAATCCCAAAGTTTGAATGTGGAAAAAAAAATCTGGGAATTTGTCCAGCACGCCATGTTTGATGACGGCCAAGGGTTTTGGGATTGTCTCAACGATCGGGGATACCCCAAGTCATGACCAAGTTGATAAATGTTCGGGGTGAACATGATGACCAAGTTATAAACCATGGGAGAGAATGGGGTTCCAAATATTGAGATAACCCCTTGTCTCGCCAACAACAGATGGGTAGAAAAACGTGGGGATTCAAAGCGAGAAAAAATCTAAGATATCTACACCAGCAAAGAGACAATGGATTGTTTAGCATTCAACAGTCTGGATTCGACTTTGTCTAATCCACTGAGGGATATTCAGCCACAATTAGGCCATAAAAGGTGCATTTTCTGGGGAACTCTTTGGTAGGCTTATGACAGGCCACTGAAGTTGATGATCATTTTTTTTGCTTCTATCCTCTGGTAATTTAGCATAGCTATTGAAGATTTTCCAAAAAAGATGATTTACCTTTTGAAGATGGTAATTTTCAATAGCGATGTGAATTTTCCAGAGGGTATCCGTCTGTGGTGTTTCTTCTCCCTCCATTTCCAACTGATTTTGGGATGACCGTTGTATCAGCCGCTCGAGGATTCCCTCAGCATCAAATTTAATATGCAGCTGCCCGGGCATGGTAGCGCGGACACGGTGACGCGGGATTTGAACTCGATCACCTTCCAGGATTGGATGAGTTGATGGGATGGCTGTCTCATAGATGACTCAAGGCTCAAAGATATTCAAAGATGCTGAGGGAATTCCAGAAGTACATGTTGTTGGGCTTGGTATAATTTCGACCTGCTTGATTTGATTTGAATGAGACAGATCCAGGTTGTTGAGTCGGAATTCGCACAATTTGTCCTCGTGGTTTATCATCATTTTCCTTATGGTCGTTGCCACAATTATAAGACGGAAGTTGAGGAGTACGAAAGTACGGTTGTTTACCTTACCCTGTTGTTCTATAATTCCGTTTTCCTCAGAAGGTTGGAAAAAAGCTTACTCTCAAATACTCCTAACTTTTTGGTCATTCTATAATTCTTGTTTGTGTTCTATAATTGTGTTTTCCCCATATTTCTCACATTTATCAATTCTGTTCTATAATTACGTATTGTGTTCTATATACAATATTATAGAATTATATTTGCAGTTATTCCGTTCTATAATTCTGGTTTCTATGTACATTCTTCCGGGGTCCCAGAAAGATACACAAAATGATGCAAATATACATATATATATATACATGTAAGTAACGTCCAAGACTCATACAATCTGCATGTTGCTAGAAATCATAGAACAGGATCCGAATCCGCTATCGGGATCCGGAGTCCTAATTCTGTTCTATAATTCTGGCAACGGCTGTAACATGATATATTGGATAAATCTTCCGTTCCTGAACAAACCCAGTCAAGTTCCAATTTGTCATGGTAAACATGGAAACACAATCCCAGTTTTTCCCAGTCAAATCAACATTTCTTGATGTTATAAGCTAAAACTACTAATTTGTTGGTAGGTGGTTGTTGTTTCATGTTGGTAGCATCTTGGTGCTGACTTTCCACTAGTCCCTTGCCATCGGCTGCAAGGCCGGCCTGCGCGACTCAGTGCAAGCTGCGGCACCAGACAGCATCACAGGTGCGCTGATGAAAGGATGAGAATTTACAGGTAATTACCCTCCGGAGAACCAACAAAAATGGTGATTTAATGAGCATACAATAGGGATATAATGGGGTATCAATGGAATAGTGGTTCATTTTTTCCTCTGATAATCAAACGTAGCTAGCTGGGGAATCCCATATAAAATGGAGATTTGAATGGAACATGATCTATAACTGGTGGATTTTCCAGCATGCCATGGTTTGATCGGGGGGTACATAGACATAAAGCAGGGATAGCCTGCAAATAAGGGAGGGGGGTATGAAAAAACAGTGGGAAATTTGATGAGTCATGAGATCTGAAAAAAAAAACCTGGTGAATCCGTAGTACCCTCTGGTAATTTAACATAGCTATGGAAAATGGCCATTTATAGTGAGTTTTCCCATTAAACATGGTGATTTTCCATAGCTACGTTAAATTACCAGAGGGTAGTTGCGAATGCTCATCCCCCTTTGGTCTCGTAGATGACTGAAAAATCCCCGGCCGCTCAAAAAAGGTCCAGTGGAAGTCTTCACCGCCTTTGGGGACCAAGAGCCTGGCATTCCCTTCAGCCGTGTGTGGATACCGCTCCTGCTTGGGGTGCGCCGGTTTGTTGCACAACGTGCTGGGTGTTGATGTAGAGGTCTTCAATGATCCGCAATGACAAGATCTTGATCACCGAAGAAATCATTGGAGATTCATCAAAAAGGGAATCTTTGAATCTTATTTAACCTTAATATTTGAACGTTTTCCATGCTGCACCCATGAGTCCAGCTAATTCCCCTTGACCCACAGGTGCTCGTCTGCAGCGCCGTGGTGTTTTGCTTCATATATGGCCTGCAGCGTCATGGCCCCAACGGCATTTGCATGGACGAGGATTTCAACTGCCGCGATCCCTTGGATGGTTTCTGCGACACGGTGCGCCGGGAATATTTTGCGGGTCCATGATCTATTGAAATCTGGGAGCTTCATAATCAATGACATTGTGGGTAGCTGTTTCAATCATTTTCAACCGAAGCATATGGGCACCATTGTGCACTGTGCACCCGAACAAAACGGGTTGAAGCCTGACTTTTTTCATGATGATTGCGATGGTTTGTTGGGAGTGCCTCATCTACAGCTGGTCTGCGAAAGGATTCCGGCGATGAGAAGATGCGCTCCCCAAAGAGCTTACGCCAGAAGCGATGGTTCCCCGGCTGCACCAAGGACAAGCTCGGGCAAGGTCCGCAAGGTCTGTAGATTGCCATGGATTTGTAGGTGACAACAAACCATGAATTTAATAATTATACAGTACAGTACAAAGCCATCATACATGGCCTTATAAATCAGGATCGGGAATTGTTTTTATGGATATATATATATATGTATATATACATACACAATATATATATATACACATACATTTAACAAACTTTTTTTTTACAGATAGATGATAGATGGATGTTGATGTTGCGTCTCGATGGGTCAATATCACACAGAAACGGAGCACTTACTGTTCGTAGTCTATGGTCTTGAAACCAATATATACAGTATATATATAACAATCTTTGAATCCCAAGTGGTGTGAAGTATGGCATGCAGGTTTTGCACGGAAACTGATTGGTCCAGGGGTTCCACAATGTCAAGAGTGGTTCAGGAAATTTCAATAGTCCATGATCATTGTGCCAACACTCAGCCCTTCGAAAATGATGGTCTTCAGTCTTCAGCCCTATTGGGGCGAAGGTACTGAAGGTACTCACTGATAGATTCCTTTGTTGATAATGGTTGGTGGTTTCAAACATTTGGATTATTTTCCATTTCATATATGGGATGTCATCCTTTCCATTGACGAACTCCATCATTTTTCAAGATGGTTATTGCACCACCAACCAGGTTATTATTAACCATCATTAACCATATAATAACCATTAATAATAACCATTAATATTAACCATTAATATTAACAGTATATTACCAATCAATGGTAGGTTGAAACACACAATGGTAGGTATAAACTCATCCCCAACTTGATGATTTGACTTCACGGCGCCCCTGAGGTTTCGACCTCAATCGCGCAATGTCACCACAGCATAAGCACCAACACGGAGGCCTCCGGTTGCAATGGCTCTGTGGTTGTCGTCCAACCCAGCAATGTGGATGAAAAATGAAAGACACTGTACACCCAGATGATAGCATGTGAGGTAAATTTACCGTAATGGAAAGTAGTATTCGAGACACCTTTATTTTTTGGAAATTGAGCTGGGGCTTGGAAAACGATAATACACTCTTCAAAAAACGGTAATATTTGCTATAGTTATTCACAGAACTTGAAAGACGATAATACACTCTTCTAAAATTGATGACTTGGAGCTGTATACTAAATATTGACCGTGGCCCATGTCAAAAAAATCGTTTTTCTGTGAGTTTCTGATGTTTTCCTTTTCAGATGGTAGGCTCTCAGGGATTTGATTCTTGCTTTTTCGATTTCCGCAGAGGACATGTCGTGCGTCTCCGGCTGAGCAGCTGCCCAGTGGAAAATGACGCGGTTTCCCTGGTGCCAGAGGATGGTCTGCGTGATTTGTTTCTTGGAACTTTCTGGAAAGTGTAAAATGTGGCTATGGATCAATACCTATTAATACCATTTTTAGTGGGATGAACATCCGGGGGGGGATGTTCACCATGGGTATAGGGTTTTGACACACTGCCATGTGGGGCAACAGTGCAATAGGACTGAGTCATGTGGAATCACTAGAGCAGGATCAAAAGAATGACCAGGATCTGAAACAAGAAACATCGGCAGCAAATGGGATCATCCTTTGTGTCCCACCAGAGCGAAGTGGCCCGATGGCCGGAGTGACTCAGTGCGCAGCACGAGCTGGCATCGATTGGAAAAGATGGTGCTTGGACGGATTGGATGCGCAAAGCTCGAGATGATGACCCCCAAACAAATCAAACAATTGCAGGGTTGATCTTCGCTGCCCACTGAGACTTAGATGCAGGGTACTCGTATTAGACTTCCATTCATTTTTCGTTGTTTAGTCAGTAGCAGTTTGTCAGAACCCCCAAGCCCGGACCCCGACCTATCCACTTCACGCAGTTCACAGAGTCCCCATCCTCAATTGCCAGGATGGAAAGGGTCACTGGGATAGCTGGTCTCTGGGGCTCTTGCGTGCCTTCGTCAATTTCGGCTGAAGAGATTGGGTGGGCTCCCAATTGATGGCAGTTTTCAGAGGGAAACTATGGGTACTTTTGGGGTTCCAAATGATTGGTGGTCACCAAAACAATGGCTGAGGGGTGAGGGTGGCATTTTCATCAGCTGAATTCGATACTTTCTCTTTCGGTTTATCTTTTTCCAGTCTTACATGTTGAAAGATACTTTCCATCCTTATGTTTCTTTAGGGGAACCTCCCGTGCTCTAAAATGAATCCTCATACATCTAAGATTTGCTGGCGTTGTCACTATCATCTTGAGTCATAGCCTCATAGCCTCATAGCTCAAATCATTTGGAGCTGATGTTTCCCTGCTTGGTTTAAGTTCAGCGAACAACTCCTGGTGCGTGCTTTGCACCCCTGTTTTCCTCACTTGGATCATTCACAAATCGCTGAAATCCTCACTTTTGTTATACTCAACATCCAGAAGTTTGCACACAATTGTTGGTCAAACCAGTGAAATCCACACTTTTGTTCCTTCAACTCTTGATTTTTGCAGCGTACATATGCTTAACTGCCAACTTTTCCCGGGTAAAACCCCCATTTTCTCCGTGAACGTCGGGGCTTTTCACCCCAGGTGCTGCAGCCGCCCGGGAAGACGACTCCACCACCGTGCGCCTGGGCAGCTGCCGCGTGCTGGCGCAAGCACTGCGGGGAGGGGAGCTGCTGAAGGCTGCCGAGGCTACGGCTGTCGGTGGTGGTTGGGGTTGCATGATGTTGGATGGATTTTTCCAGTTTTCTTTTTTGGATTTCAAACATTTTCAAGCCATCTAATTATTGGATAATTAATTATTGTTTTAGTAGTTTTTTTTTGGGAACATGATATATAATATATTATAATATGGGATAGAATGGGGTTTCCCTGTTTCTTTGAACATGAAGGTAGTGACATAGAGAAAGGTGTTTGTTCATGGCGTGGCTTCCATTTGTTTCCGTGCTTGGAGTGGATGTTTTGCGCTGCCCCTCCCCATCTTCCCTTGTGAGATTTGCTGCGAAGTGGCCGTTCACATGAATTCGCTCTGGACCCACACCTCTGCAGGCTGGGTCCTGGGTTGGAAGCACCTCCGGTGTGTTGTCCTGAAAAGATTTACTATAGCCGTTTGGAAAGTAGTTGAGATCTGGAGGAATACGATGGAATAGGGTTGAGTCCGGATCCCCCTTGACTTCAAGTTTGGGAGGTCTTCATGAAACATTGGAACAATTCCATCTACCCAACGGGCTGAGCACAGAAATGATGTCCACCACCACAGTGGTTTAACCACTGAACTGCCCTGTCGCATGAAGGTGGCATCATGGACGACCTGCAGCACTTTATCTTCGATGACGTGGAGTCCAAAGGGTCAGCTGGCTGCAGATGTCGGACTGAGAGCTGTCTTTGGGGTGGAGGGTGGTCAATTCCGCGATGGAAATCGTGGGGGAAATCAATCGAGGTCTTCCATGAGTAGGCGGGGGGGAACTGCAGAATGGAAGTGCTCCTGATCCTTGTGCTTGTTGAACGTTCTTCAACTCAACATGTTTTCCCTCCAATCTCATGTACTTGTATGGCCCAAGCCGGACAACCTAGGATCATCCGATCTACCACGAGAAAGGTGTGTCTTCAACACATCTTTGTCACGTCTTTGTCCTCTTTTACCATCTTTCACTTTCAGACATCATAGATTACAGATGATTGCCAATGATTGCTGATATTTTCCCAACCGCCCAACCGCTGTTAGTGCTGAATCCTGGATCCAAGTACCACTGGTGGTGTTTTCGACCACTGAAACGCGAAGGAAAAGATGATCGAAACCTTGAAGTTGGACCTCTTTTTGAGAAGGTCAATGCAGTGCAAAGAAACCCAACTAGTCAGATGTAGTTTATGTAGCTATCCCTCGATTTTACACACTTGTATAATCCAAACATGTGTCAAACTTTTATAGACATGTGACATGTGTCAAATAAACTCCATCAAATCGACAGCAACCCATGTTGATCCGCAAGCACATGGGTTTGTCTGGAAGGACTTTCTCCCAAAATCCAATGTCTCAAGTTAGTTAAACAAAATCAATACTCCATTCTCTCCATAGATTTCTCCTGATTTTTTTAAAACCACAACTTGACTGGGGGGTTAAAAGCACCAATTCTGAAACCAGCATTTTCCCAAGATTTTTCAGCATCTTTTGATGATTTTCATGGTGATTTCCCAATTTTCAGCCGTTTCTTTCATTGAAAAACCCCAGCGAAACCGAGTCGTGGAGCCCTGCTGCTGGAAGCCTTGGCCTCAGCCCATCGCCTCGGCGCGGAGCAGTTGCTGCCGGTGGCTCTAAAGGCCTTGAAGAAAAGCGAGGCGCGATGGGAAACTGTGGAAAAATCGATGGGAAATATATGGAAAATATATGGGAAACATGAGAATTATAGGATTATATGGGGAATATTTGAATAGAGGTTTTTATTCTAGATATCTAAGATATATCATGATATATCTATAGTTAATGGAACATGGGTGAACTATTAATGCAATAATATTGTAATAATCAAGGTTAGTGAGCTTAGGTCCCCCCATTCATGGTGTTGATACGGATGTTTCCGTTTTGTCATGGGGTGGTGACTTAGGGATCCCAATGACTTAAGACATATCAATATGATGTAATATTGAAATATCGTAAATATCTATAAATATCTTACATGCAGAATATCTAATATAATACGAAAAAACAAGATGTAGCACGTAACAGTTTTTTTTTGTTTTTACAATGTGAATCTAATCTAATCTAGTCTAATCCAATCTAACCTAATCTAAGTTTCCGAAGTCATGGAGGATCCCCAAGTAAACCATCGTTGCTCTAATACTAAAGTGATCCAATGACGACTGGATGATTTGGGGTACACCCATGACTTAGGAAACCTGAAACCTCCACAAAAAGCATGAATATTCGAGTAATATGCTGACTGTAGCACGGGAAGATAATCTATTAATATACCAAAAAATGATCATGTAATGTGATATTTTATGATACTATATGGCTCACATGATATTCACCATGATATGATATGATGTACTACTATGATGTACTATGATGATCTATGATGTACTATGATACTGGTGTATGCTTTTCGCTTGAAAATGGAATGCCAGGAAAGTGGTGACTTTTGGTTCTTCAGCCAGGTGAACATGGCAGCCCCAAGAGGTAGGTTTGGAAGCTGAGTTTCCTGCGCAAACATCGTCTGGTACGTGGACTCTAAAGCACAGACATATAGTCTTTATAACCGGTAGAACATGGTAGAACTATATAAGTATTGTATAAGTCTATAGTCAGTATAACTATAACTAATGGGTTATAAGTTATAACTATAAGTCATTCGAGTTTTCCAAACTGAAGCCCAACTCCTTGGTTTGAAAGAAACCTTGTGCGGCCAGGCCAACTATCAGTGCAAGGTGCAGGCATGGTCTGAGATTCGGAAGGAGATGGTTGATTAGACCACCTTTGAACATCCGCGATGGCTCTGCCAAGCTTAGATTGGCTTAGATTCTTAGATTGCCATCTTGGTTAGAGGACCAGGTTAGATGTGGACTCGGGTTGGCCCCCTTTGACAACTAGCTTCACCTCGCTTTATGTCACAGTCGTCCTTGATACCTATGCAATGATATGCAATGTAACCAGGCTGGATTTGGGATATCACACCGATATCCCAGAATTACATTCAAAAGACAAATGGATTTGTTTCATAGTTCATAAGCACTCATTGCCGTTTGGTTGTTTCATGTTGTTTCATTTTGTCATTTCCGTCCCATTGTGATGATGTAAGTTAATCACCTGTTCATGCCGGTCGCTGCCGCATGACGAGACTTCTACAAGCTCCTGATACACCGGAACATCCTAGGAATCAGGGACTTGCTAATCATGATCAACCAATACCAATCGTTAATTACGAACATATAACTACTAATCACTTCTAATCACTCAATCATAATAATCAATCAGTACTAATCAGCATTATCAGCCCTCAAATCAGTCCTAATGATTACACATCATGACACTTTTCTCTATCGCATCATGTCCTGGTCAAATCCACCCAAATCTTCGGGGCTTTTCTCAGATTTTCTGAAAATCACCAAAGAATCTCATGTTCAAATCACCAAATTTTCAGATTCTCTGTTCAAATCACCCAAGAATTCCATGGTTCAACTCATCACTCTTGAGGCCTTGGCCAAAGCCCTGGTGGATGCCTTCGCCAACGCCCCGGCCGCCTGCGGAGCGGCCTTGCAAGCGCTGAGCGCGGCGGCGCCATGGGCCATGGTGCCATGGCCGGAAAATGGATCCAGATATGGGAGATAGCCTCTGGTAAACATACAAAAAACGATGGAAAATCCAGCATTTTCTAGCTAAATCAACGATTTCTATGGCAATT